TGAGCCGTCAGCACAGAGCCTGACGTGGGGCTCACGGACCGCGAGATCGTGACCTGAGCCGAAGTCGGCCGCTCAACCAACTGAGCCACCCAGGCGCCCCCCAAAATTCACCAGTTTAAAGTGAACAGTTCAGAGGCATTTAGTGCATTCCGAATCTTGTGCCACCATCACCTCTGTCTAGTTCCAGAACATTTCCATCACGCCAAAAGGAGACCCTGTCCCCATGAGCAGCACTGCCTCCCCGGCCCCTGGCACCCCCGAATCTGCTTTCTGTCTCTACGGAGTCTCCTGTTCTGGACATTTCATACACATGGAATTGTGCGTCACGTGACCTCTTGTGTCTGGCTTCTTTCACTCCGCCTCTTGTTTTTGACATTCATCCACACGGTCGTGTGTGCCAGCGCATCGCTCCTTTCTAGAAACGGCTGAGTGATGTTCCGTCGTGTGGCCAGACCACGTTTTGCTCACCCCCTCACTAGTTGACGGACACTCTGGGTTGCTTCCACCTTTTGGGGATTGTGAACAGTGCTGGTGTGGATGCGCGTGTACACGGAGCCCTGGTTTTAGTTCCCTTGAGTACAAACCAGGAGTGGACTTGCTGGATGACGGAGCTTGTGTGTTCATGGCTGTTGAAGCCGCTATGGGGAGTGGACAGTCGGGAACAGGCTCTGGAAGGTCAGGGGGAGCTGGGGCGGAGCTGGGCGGGAGGCAGCGGTGCCTGGCCCAGGGTCAGGGTGGCGAGGGCAGAGGAAGTGAACACAGGTATGGATGGAAGGGGGCCCTGGATGGGGGTCCAAGTGGATCCCGGGTACATAAGAGGTCAAGGCACAGACGAAGAATTGTCACTGAGGTGAGGGCACTGAGTATTTTTAGGGGACGGCCAGGCTTCAGGGGAACATGAGGGTCTGGTTCCAGGTCTCTGAGGCTGGGGGACAGGAGGCCCCGGATGGAGCCCAAGGAGGCCGTTTTAGGGAGTGGCCAGAGAGCAAGACACAATCCAGAGAAGTCCAGCTCAACGCAGACAGAGCCCTCTTGGGGAGGAAGCAGAGGTGATGGGGAGAGCTGAGGGGTCAGTGTCACCGGGAGGGTGTGAAGCCTGCATATGGGTGGGCACAGGTGCCAGGAGGAATGGGGGTGGCTGCAGGAGCCGGTGAAGGGGAGTCACAACCCACCTGGTGGGACAGTCCGTACTCATGGCGTTGGCAGGTCCGATTTCTGCCTCAGCCGTCCCGCCCAGCATGGCGAGGCAGGGGGCAGCCTCCATCCAGCTGGGATTGGAGAGCCCAGGCCAGGGGCATCGGGGCTGGCTCAGGAGAGCCCGATGAGTAAGAGAAGACAGGAAGAGGGGCCAAGCCAGAGTTGGAAATCCTGCAAGGGACAGATTTCAGGGGTAGGAGCATCTTTTTCTATAAATCTAGAGCTGTTCCGAAAAATAACAGCTATTCGTAAAAAATAACGGGTAGAGAAGGAGAACAGAAAACCGGTGACCAGGACACCTGCAGAAATGGGTGGCATGCCCTGGCTTGTGGAGGACGCACCCCAGCTTGAGGGGTCCTGGAGGCCCTGTAGGTCCCTGCCAACACAGTCCTGCTATCCCCAGACTGGACGTCGGGCATGGCGGTACCACGGGACATCGCAGCCGCCTACCTGCTGCAGGGAAGCTTTTACGGCCATTCCATCTATGCCACGCTGTACATGGACGCCTGGCGCAAGGACTCAGTGGTCATGCTCGTCCACCATGTGGTCACCCTGGTCCTCATCGTCTCCTCCTATGCCTTCCGGTGAGTCCAGGAGCAGGCAGGAGGGCACAGGGCACAGCATGAGCACAGAGAGGAGGCTGGCATGGGGCACAGGCTAATGCCTATAGGGGAAGGGGGCCACGGTGAGTATCCGCGGGGGGAGGGGTGGTTATGAAGAGAGATTCCAGAGGGACGGGGTATAGCAAGTGCAGAGAACCCCCGCTCTGCTCATGCCCCCATCCATCCCCCTCCAACCCCACGGCAGCCTTGGCCGGGTCACGTAGCAAGTGTTTCCTGGCCGCCTGCCACGCACGGGTGTGCGTGGTGCAGCTGTGAACACGAGAGACCGGCCCCTGAGTGCTTCAGATGTAGCCTATCCGTACTTCAACACGCATAGGTGTAAAATCCCACGCAATTTCAAAGGCAAAGGAGAGTGAATATGTGTGGCCAGTGCTTTGGCTGTACCAACCGCATGTTAAGATGACAATATTTTGGATGTACTGAGTTCATTAGCATATAGCATTAAAATTAATTTTTATCTCTTCTTTACTGGTATGTGTGTGTGTGTGTGTGTGTGTGTGTTTTTTTTTTAATGTGGCTGCTAGAGAATCTAAAATAACAGACGGTTCATGTCCTGTTCCTATTGGACTAGCTGATCTAGCTACGCTCTCCAGTACGGCAGCTGCTGGCCACTCGGGCCTATTTCAACTTTAATTACACGGAAGTAAAGTCGTATATTCTGTTCAGCCACACCAGCCACATTTCCGCTGCTCAGTGGTCACATGTGGCTGATGGCTCTCGTATTAGACAAGGCAGGTTTAGAACATGCCTATCATTTTAGAAAATTCTATCAGCACTGCTGTAGAGGAGAATCCGATGATAAAACCCAAGCAAACAAATGAGAAAAGAACTCAAGAGTTTGTTTTAAAGTGATACCTGTGAAGAAAAATCAAGTCCGGAGATCAGGGCAGCAGGGGTGGTGAGGTGCAGATGGGTGGCTGGGTGACAGGTGAGCCAAGACTGAAGGGAGGTGAAGGAAGGCTCCACGAACACTGGGGAGGTACACGTTAGGGGATGGTGACAGCATGTGCAAAGGGCCTGCGGCACATGAGCTGTCAAGAGGGCAGAGTGAAAGAGCCCAAGCCACACCAGGCTGAATTCAGGCCCAGTGGCCCAAGCAGCTGTAAGGTGGAATGCTGGGGAGGGATAGTGGGACTGCCTTCAGGCTCCTTCAGAGCCTAGTGCCGACTCGGCCTTTCCTGGGCAGGTCTGCAGCTTGCAGCAGTGTTCAGGTTAAACAAACAAAAAACCTAGGAGTGTTAGCATGGCAGTGATGTTTAAGGTGAGGGAAAAACTTGTGGGGGATCTGGATACAAAATGGCCCAGGCCACTGAGGGTCAGGGTTCCCAGAGATGAGGAGGGACAGACAACTTCCAGGGAGGCTCTTAGGTCACCTGGGGACAGTGAGACAGGAAGGGTGCAGATGGGGCTGCGGAGGGGCAGGTACAGCTTGGGTGCTGCCACTGACCTGGCCAGTCCAGTGGCAGGAATGGGCAAGTCACGTGGGCCAGGGAGGACAGCTTCGAAGGGGCCTACAGGAAGCTTGGGATGCAGCCTTGCTGCGAGGCAAGGGTCCCCAGTGTAACCCACTCTCCCCTGTCCCACTTCCCCCCCCCACCAGGTACCACAATGTGGGCATCCTCGTGCTCTTCCTGCATGACATTAGCGACGTGCAGCTGGAATTTACCAAGCTCAATGTCTACTTCAAGTCTCGCGGAGGCTCCCACCACAGGCTCCACGCGCTGGCCTCCGACCTGGGCTGCCTCAGCTTCTGCCTCAGCTGGTGAGTGGGGGGCAGGGAAGGAGGCGGAGCTGGTGGGAAGGGGCGGGGCCAGGCAGGGGAGGGGGCGGGGCACTCAGGGGAGGAGGTGGGGCTGGCGAGAAGGGGCGG